ATTCGATTTTACGATTCCGATTTCACCTAACCAAAATGATTTTAAGTAAAATCTCGATTTTGAGTAAAATCTCGATTTTGACAACCTTGGACATATCTATTACTTAACGTAAAAAAAACCATTACTTAATAGCAATGTATAATGTTAATAATGAGACACGTAAATTGTTTTGAATGGAAGGACCAACTTAAGGTTAAATTTAGAAACTTCAAGGACTAAATCAGGGATTTTTTTAGATTAAAGACTAACTCAGGATCCATACAATAGTTCAGGGACCAAAGTGGGCGTTTAACCAATAAAGTATCAGCAATTTGTTCAAAACTCACAAATTTAAGATTTAACTTGCAATCGGTGGATGATGATGTTATTGTTCCATGTAAAATGCTAGATTTTTCGTTTGCAGAATGGCAGAGTGCTCCATTGACTGTCAAGGGATTTGTTCCTCGCATGCATTGGCTACATTAGGGAGGTAAGCCCGTTAAGTTCTTTCCTTTCCTGGAATATTTGATATAAGAATGGTACATGATATACGATTTCAGGCATGCTGTTGGTTAGATTGTGGAGTGTTTGTGTTAAAGTGATGTTTATGTGGTTGTTTTGATGGAAATCTTCTTTCTTTTTGCTAGAGATCGAATGTATTTCAACAATTTAGTCTCTTAGAATGTTGTGTTCTTTGTAGAAAGAGTGGAACTACTTCATTTAAAATACTAAGAATTGGAAATACTGGGGAACCTGGAACTTGTGTCAAAGAAATTGAAGAGGTTCAGGAGATAAGGGCGAGGATACAACTTAGAATGGGGAGTAAGTCGTGATAACATTAGTTCTGTGGATTCAAAAAGTGTGCTTGGATCATGTTGGAGTTGTGGTATCAAAGCTGCAACACAGTGGCAGCAAATGAAAAGAAGGGAGAGCTGCACCAGCAGCAAAGTAGCAGCAAAGTACAGCAACGTGGAGCTGCACAAAATGGCAGCAAATTAACTTTTACATCTTAGTCTATGTGTTAGGTAGAAAATTTTATTGTATTAGGTAGAAATTACTGTTTATATATTATGAGGTTTCTGCTATTTAATGGCAGAAGATGAATGAAAGAAATTGGGTTTTGACCTACCAAAAGAGGGAACTCCAGATGTCTCTCCTTCTCCTCCAAGTCCATTCTCCACCCTTTCCAAACACCCCAACAGATCAACCATGGTTATGGGAAAATTGACTACAAGATCATCCCAAGAGGGAAGAAGATTGGCCTAATATAAAAATTTCGGCCACCAGAAAAAGTTCTGAATTTCAATGGTAAAGGTAATTATTAACAGTTTATTTTCTTTGGTTTTGCTTAGCAAACAAGTTCTGGTTAAATGCCTTCTTTGGTTATGGGGCCTATAACTACAAAGGAAAGGGAAAAGCAGTCTAACTCATTAATGAGCACTAGATTAATTCTTAATACTCTCTGATACTTGTGAAGAGATGGAAGTTATGCTTATCTTTGTAATATATGTTATCAGGTCTTTTGTTTATCCTAATTTAAGTCTTGTTCCTTTTTTGTGATAAAAACCTTATATGGGTTCTTCACACACAAAAAAAAAAAAATGAAAAGACCCTTCAGATTTTACTTTATGCATTTGAGCTCTTCCTCACTCCATATATCCAGTGCAAAAGAACGGCCAATAGCCATGTTGATGCCCCTCGGTGTTTGTCAATGTGATTTGAATTTTCTGTAAATTTTTCCATCTCTTGTACTGTGCCAAATTGTCTCGTATGATTATTTCTCCTAAATTATGATAAGAATGAATCCTTTCTACTGACACGATAAGAAATTAGTCAGCTTTGGATTTTGCAGGAAAGATTTATGAGATTGGATCATAGGGCATAAGCAGTTTGAAAAGGCATATGAGGTGAGGAGAGATAAATGCCTCAATGATTTCATATCCCTTTATAGGACCATGCCACCATGCCCCTTGTCTCAACCAATGTAAAGAGCTGTTGATGCAAAACAAGAATGGTTCTGGTAATGACACTTCTTTTATTTATTTGGTACCTGAAATTTTCTGCTTGATGCAGCCACGGTTTGCATAATACTGTTGTATGCATACTCCTGGAAGTAGTGGTCACGTTTTTGAAGCTAACATAGTGAATCTTATTAATTAGATTGCACTACTTGATTGGTCATCCTTATTAGTATAATCTCATAGGTGGTGATTCTCATTAGCATAGTGAAAATTGAAATACTGTCATGATAAGTGAGAAATAGTTTGGATTCTCTTGTTGGTTTGAAAGGAATCAAAATCTCACATTGCAAAAAAGATATACCGGTATTTATCCCTGGCTAAGGGGAGATTTGATTCTGAGTCTTTTATAATTGATACTGCCTGCACTTCTTTTTAGTCGTTGCTTTGACTCATTGCTTACAGTAGGTAATGCTTAGTAGTATAGTATATGAATGGCAATTAAAGAAATTTTTTCGATCAAGTGAGATATCTAGAAAAAAATTTTAATTATTATGTATATTATGTAAAGTATTAATAAATAAATATAAATTACCTAAAGTTTCATGAGAAAAAAAAAAAAAAGGCAATGACTAAAATGGGCAGAAGGCAGTACAACTCTGGAATCATCTTATCAGGTTCCGCAGACTCCTCGAAAAGTTTTATATTTATGTGTTGGCTTCAGAAAATGTTAGATAATCAAAAGCAAGAAATCTACACTTTTCTTTTGGCAATTTATTTCTCCATGAGCTAACATTGTTGTAGACTGGCCTGGCTATATCTACATCAAAGGGCAAGTGCCCCCGCTACTGAACTCAAATGTCTTCCTGATCAGTTCCTTGTTTTGCTTCATACACATGGTTAAGTTTCTTTTCTGGTGTTCTGACTTTGTATTAGTCCTGTTGTACAGCATATTTGCATGTATCCTTCTAGTAATGATTTTGTGTTGCCTACATTCAAAAAAATATAAAAATCCAAAAAAGAAGCAAGGAATCAGAAAAGGGAAACAGAACCCCTTTCTTGATGGTTGAATTTGATTAGCTAATATAAATTTTAGTGTTTTTGGCATGAAATGCTGGAGAATCAATCCAAGTTTGAATGTGCATGTGGTCTTAATGCAAGAAAATGGGGGCATAAAGAAAGGTAGGGGGAGAGAATCCATACACTGAAAAATAAAATAAGAGATATCCTGGTTTGAATTTTAAACATTAAAGAGTTGGTTGGTTCATCTGTGTGTGTTTGTGTTTTCCTTTCCCGGATTAAAATGTTGGAATCAAATTCCATTCCCCTAAAATAAAATGAAAATTGTGACAAACCAATGAAATTGAAAATTCCAAAAAATTTCATATAAAACATTTCTATTAAAAATTGTGCAGAAATCTCTTGTGTCAATGAGAATGCTTTCAAGTTTTTCTTTTTAAAATAGTCGGCTATAGAACTCCGTAAATTCTTTATTTTTGAGATTAAGGACATTTGACTTTTCTATTGGACAGGAATAAAGAATAGTGTACAGATTATTCTTTTTTTTTTTAGCTTTGAGAAAAACGTACAGATTTTTTTTTGAGGAACAGAAAAACGTACAGATATTAATTGATAATGACTGTAACTTTCAAAGCTAATAAAGAAAACTTGTGAAC